AATGTAACTTCTTCGTAGATGTAGCATTGATCGGGTAATCTTATTGATGCATTCCTGGAAGCTCTTTATTTTTCTTCTTCATATTTTTAATAATTAATACCATATATAAATGTATCCAAGTATTCTTATTTTTTTTAAATGATGTATCGGGCATATCCCCGTATCATGAATCTGATACGTATCCAATCACTATGCAATAGAGCCCGTCAACCCGGACATATATAGAGCCGGTATGATAAGGCATCTAGATCAGATTTTTTTTTACCAGACCGTCCGCCCAAGAGTATGGTTTGGGAAGCCCGGTTGTAGATGCTTGTTAGAGTGGGAATGAACTAGGATCAACTGCCCGAGTACATACTCGCTATCTCAGCTACATCACGAGAAAAACCTGGCGTGACACGATTTTGTTTGAGGGTTACTGACGTGACGAGTGACGACACGAGATACTACTACTCTACACTATCTCCATGCTACTCGCATAAATCCAAATCCGAAGATGCTAATCCGTAGTCAGTAGTAGTATAATGTACGAGTACGTACTAATAATGTTCTTGCTGTCCCTGTCCCAAACTGCCCATCATCTCCGGCCTCTCTCTCCTCTCCATCTGACGTCTGAACTCTGAAACCCACGCACACAAACCTGAACCCTCTCCCCCCTCCTCGCTCCCACCGTGGTCAAATGGCACCCGCCGCCGCCGCCGCCGTGAGGCGGGTCCACTTCGCCAGCTCCTGCCCGTCGGCCGGCCGGCGGTTCCACGGGAGGGCGGATCGCGTCTCGCTGGCTCCCCCCGCGGCCTCGCCGCCGCGCGTTTCATGGGGTACGTGCTCTGGACCCGAGCGTCCCACTTCCCAGCTTTGTGTGTAGATCAGCGGAGTCTGGAGGCTCCCGTGGTCGCGACTCGCGAGTAGCCATCTTCAGGGATTCTTACCCTGGTATTGATTTGGTTAGGAACTGGGGTAACTTTTATTCGATGCTTCTTGTTCCAAGCAGAGCAGGGATCCGGGGTGCCCATCAGGGGACGAGTCTGGGCGAGGGCCGGTGGTTCGTTCGAGCAAGATCGCATCGGGGTGGGCGCTGCGTCACATTCTCCCCCTCAGGTGCCCTTCTGATGCGGTTGGCGATCAGTAATAGTATTACTCTACTGTATTTTTTGTTTCTAGCAGAATAAGACCCATTGGTTTGTTCGCTTCTGTGCCTGCCTGCTTCATGCTTCAGCCTTGTATCTTGCAGGGAGTGGAGGAGGGCAGAGTTGATTTTCTCAAGATTCTGAAGAGTGCCAACTCCGTTATCCCCCATGCAGTGCTGGGGAGCACCATTCTTGCACTGCTGTACCCACCTTCGTTTACATGGTTCACAACCAGGTCGGTCTTCCGATGTTTTCGCTGCTTGCTTTGATTCAGCTCCTGAAATCTAAAGGCTGTTTTTTCACAAATACCAGCACAATTATATCTTCTGCACTAATTTGAGCTCACTGGTACAATAATGGCGATGTATAAATGTTCCATGTACTCAGTTGAGTTAGAGAGATGTTACCTTTGGAAACTGAATGTTATCAACTGTTAACATACTTGTGAAGGAACACGGGAACTCAACTGTTAACATACTCCCTTCGTTCCTAAATGTATGTCTTTTTAGAGATTCCACTACAAACTACATACGGATGTATATAGATATAGTTTAAAGTGTAGATTCACTCATTTTGTTCTGTATGTAGTCTATAGTGAAATCTCTAAAAAGACTTAGTATTTAGGAACGGAGGGAGTACTTGTGAAGGAACACGGGAACCAAATGTTATCAAGTGAATGAGAATGGTTCAGAAACATTTAAACTTTTTAAAACTGAATCTAACTAAATCAAATGAGTCTTCAGGTAAAACTAGCCAAGAAACAGCTGCATTCCACAAGTACAACTGAAATACTCGATGAACATGCAAACCCCACATTCAGTAGCTCAAAACACACATTGGTACAATGCTTGATGCAATACAAATCAGTGTTGTGCTACTGCATGTCGTTTTTGCATTTTTATATGAGTGTGACTCTGTGCTAATAACCTGGCAGATACTATGCACCGGCATTGGGGTTCTTGATGTTTGCTGTAGGTGTCAATTCAAGCGTTAAGGACTTCATTGAAGCAATAAAAAGGCCAGATGCTATCGCTGCTGGCTATATTGGACAGTTTATTGCCAAACCTTTCTTTGGATTCCTCTTTGGCACACTTGCAGTTAATACTTTCAATCTTCCTACTGCTGTAGGTAGGAGATTTGAATTTACTCACTTTTAGCATGATTTCATAAGGGACATTGCAGGCAGAGTAATGAAGTGAACCCTGACTTGGACTTGTTTCTAGGTGCTGGGATCATGTTGGTTTCATGTGTGAGCGGAGCACAATTGTCAAATTATGCAACGTTCCTGACAGATCCACATATGGCTCCCCTCAGCATTGTTATGACATCACTGTCGACAGCTAGTGCGGTTTTTATTACCCCAACTTTATCTTACTTGCTTATCGGCAAGAAATTACCTGTTGATGTCGTAGGAATGATGTCCAGCATTGTCCAAATAGTGGTTGCTCCAATTGCAGCTGGATTGCTTCTGAATAGGTACCCACGTAATTTCTCTGTCTGAAGTATAAGAGATAACTGTGCTAGATCTGACACAGTCTATGCTATGTGCTTTTTATCTTTTGCTGCCCACCTAGAGTAAATATCTAATGTGTCTAACTTAGCATTTTTTATACTATGAAGATTTCTCCCAAGACTCTGTTCGGCTATTCAGCCATTTCTCCCTCCACTATCGGTGTTTGTGACTGCTTTATGTGTTGGCTCACCATTGGCTATAAATATCAAGGCTGTTTTGTCACCATATGGACTATCCATTGTGTTTCTGCTTTTTGCATTCCATACAACATCTTTTGTAGCTGGGTATCATCTTGCTGGTACTTGGTTCCGCAAGTCACCTGATGTGAAGGCCCTGCAAAGAACGATATCTTTTGAGACAGGTATGTTGTTGTTTGCGATTGGATTACGATATGTTGTTTGCGGTTGCTTCTTGTCTTACCAATATTTCATACAGGGATGCAAAGTAGCCTTCTTGCTCTTGCTTTAGCAAACAGGTTCTTCCCAGACCCTCTGGTGGGAGTGCCTCCAGCAGTATCAGTATGTCTACTCCCCCAAGGCCCCGTCTGTTGCTTTTATATCCGCATTAAGCATGAACCGTTTTGTTTATTCGCTTTTAAATGCAACTTTAGTGACTTTCATCTAAAGAGCAGCTATGGCGTTTTGTCTTAATCTCGTCACGATATCACGGAGTAACGTCTCTTTCGAAAATTATAGTTACATGTGTTTCGAGGGGGCTTATTCAGACGAAGCACTTTCTAAATATATTTGAGCTAGGTACCATATATGATGGACTCTGCAATTACAGCATCATCACTTGTTCTCTGTTACCATCTGTTGCGCAGATATCAACTAGTAGGAGTTAATATTTCCTGCTTGTGTGTGTAGGTTGTGCTGATGTCCCTGATGGGGTTTGGTCTTGTCATGTTATGGTCCAAGAAAACACAAGCATAGCCTCCGCAAAGCCACTGGGCTGGATCAACGGCCGATATACTTCTCTGCGATTTTTTCGATGGCGCTGACCAAATCGCCAAGAACAACCCGATCCTTGGCGGAAAGATGACGATTGCAGACCGTAGATGGCCAGGGTGCCAAGTGAGAGAGACCACGATCACCGTGACACGTCTGGATCCTTGTCACTCTCGTTTCCTTTGATCCTTGGTGGAAATATATGTCTGTGTAACGTTTTGGGGATTCATAGGGATAACCTCTCCCTAGTTGATTCTGACAGAAGATAGAAAGGGAGAAGAAACCTACGTGCTGGTGGATTTATCATCTGATGATGATAATCCGTCTGCATTTCTTGTGACAAAAATGATAATATCCACTCATGCTGCTTATGCAACTGTTTTTATTTTCTTAATTGAGTTGCAAACTAGAATGGCAATAATAACAATCTCGGAGTACATCTCATTTTGTTTGTAAGGCAGCTTGAAAAATAACCAAAAAAGAAAGAAAATACAGGCCATTTTGTGGTACAGGTACGGTCACAGTACAGTTACACTGACTGATGCGTCCAGTTGTACAGAAGCTATCACGAGTTCTGTGAACGCCAAGCAAAGCAAAGCTCTTCCCACTTCATGGCGTCTCTCCGGCTCGTGGCAGCATTGCCGCCCTCACCCCCGCCCTCATCCCGGCGGGAGACGCGGAAGCCTCCGCCGCCCGGGGCCCGCCTGGCGAGGGACGTCGCCCTCGCGGCGGCGGCCGCCACCGTGGCCGCGGCTGCGGCCTCGCCGCCGGCGCTCGCGGCGCTGGCCGAGCCGGCGAACGCGCTGTCGCTGCCCACCTGGGCCGTCCACGTCTCCAGCGTCGCCGAGTGGTACGCACATGCTTTCTTTGCCACAGTCCACTCCTATCGAAGCTCCGATCGATTTCTGCTTCCTGCAAAGATCAAATCTCTGAGGAGTGAGGAGGGGAATTGCAATTGCAGGGTGACGGCGATGGCGCTGGTCTGGGATTACGGGGAGCGCACGGGGCTGAAGGGATGGAAGGGCCTATCCTGGGGGATGGTAAGTGCAAACTTTTTGATGCAGAGTTTTGGTAAAGAAGCCATTTTCTGAAGAATTTTGTTGTGGATAATGTATGTATCTGTAGACTAGTATGTGTGAAATGCTGCAAGCATTGCATGTCATTAGGATTCTGGAAGATGATTTGGTTCGCTTCACCCAATGATTTCATCGCCGTAAACTGAGCATTTGTGTTTCTTCAGGGACCCTCCTTATTGAAGTGTGCATCCATTCCATTGAGATGGCTATTGCAAGTAGCAAAGTTTTGTTGATGACAGTTCATGTGCTGCTTGTTCACTAACAAGTTTGCATTTCTGCCCAATAACAGGTTCCACTTCTCGGTGGAGCGATGTGCGCGTGCACCTGGCATTTCTTCTACAATTCAGAGTCTCTCGAGGTAACATATTAACCTGAAGGCAAAGCAGTTGCATCCCCTTTGCTGATTGCTACTACTAGTTGCTTGATAGTATCATCTACCTTTCCAAGTTTTGTACTTAGCTGTCTTCACTTGTCATATTAACCTGAAGGCAAAGCAGTTGCATCCCCTTTGCTGATTGCTACTACTAGTTGCTTGATAGTATCATCTACCTTTCCAAGTTTTGTACTTAGCTGTCTTCACTTGTCAACTGTCGTTGTGCGCCTTGTCTACCCTGAATATTTCCACCAACTTAATCACAATGCACTTGATAATTAGCGGGCCAGACGTTGCTAACTACTTTCAGCAGCTATATCCTGAATTCTTTGCGCTTGTTAGTTTTGCTGAATGAGTATGCTATTTGTGCTTCAAAGCATTATTCTGCCCATGTTCCTTTTCCTTAGTTGTGATGTTTTCTGTCCGAATTCCACAGGTACTTGTGGCGCTTCAAGGCGCTCTAACGGTGATCGGTAACATAACAATGTGCATAGCCGCGTACCGCATCTACAAAGGGTCCCAAGAAAGCACTAACAGCAACAGTCCATAACCTGTGTATGCACTCTTTCTCGAACATCTGTCTGTCGGGTGGAAGCTTCAGCTTCCTTTTCCTTGTTACTAAGAGGTGGAAACTTCTTGAATGACAGAGTTTTTTCTTCCGTAGATTTGTATACCGTTCTTAATTTGTAATTCTGTCACACACCTGATTCAAGAAAATGCAAATGATGGATGCAAAGAAGGTAGACAAAGAAAGTTACTCAGAGGGTCACCATAAAAAGGCCTACTGACAGAACGAAAGAAACTTATTCTTGTCCACCTATAATTCAAATGTCAGTCCAAAAAAATCCACCCTGAAATTTGTGTAAGAAGAACCTTACTCCCTCCGTAAACTAATATAAGAGCGTTTAGAATGCTAAAGTACTGATTTAAACGCTCTTATATTAGTTTACAGAGGGAGTACTAAACTTCTCACTTTTGAATGACATGCAAGCGTGCCATGTCTGATACTGATCACTGAAGATTCACATTCACCTTTGCATACTTTATCCATTGTTAAGAGATTGAATCGTTTCAATGTGAAATTGCTGTGAACCAAAGAGGCCCTTGAAGCACATTGCCCTACGCCTCGGTGCGACGATGCCGTCCTCATGATGCTAATTTAGTAAATTTTGAGCCAAGATAAACACTTCCTGGTACTTGACTTGGTTCGTGCGTGTGTTCATGATGCACACATGCGCATTATTGCCAAACAACGGTGCAGCAGGACAGGTTCATGCACGCCCGGCAATGATCGCTGGTGCCTTGTCAATGATGTCGGGAGGTCAAGCATCTAGCATAGGAATGAAACCTACACTTGGGTCGACGCAGGAACCCCGACTTGACATGTGTCGCGCATCGGGAAGGTGCGGCGCAGCATCGGAGGGTGGGAGCAGCTTCAAGGCACTTGAGTCATTGCTGAAAGTGATAATACAGAGCCAACACCCAAGTTTTTCAGCAAACCTTACGTGCCATTAAAACTGGGAAACCTTACAGAGCCAACAGTGAACTTCTCGCGCTTCAGAACTCAGAACCTTTCAGCATCGTTGTAGAACTTGCAGCTTCCTTCCCTTCTCTTTACTTTTTTTTCTCTCTCTCCTTTGCTCTGCTGCTCATTTATCCGCTGAGTTGCGTTCCTCATATACCTTGCCTATGCAACCCACTCTAAAAAGCCAACCATCTAGCCATTTGAGCTACTTATTACACTAGTAGGATCATAGGGAAACTTAACTATCAAAAAAGAAAACCCACGGCATTTCTTGTTTTCCAGATCGACCAGAGCAACGCAACAACTCCTGCAACAACGAGGTTTCTGCTACTCCCCCTAAAATTCATAGATCGCCCCACTATCTCATCTACCTTGTTAAAATCCATATCGATACTAAAGGCCACTTTAATCGCACCCCATGCATACCATGGGACAACTAAAGAACATATGATCAATACTCTCTTTGGCGAGGTTACCTTGCAGTCATTTTAAGGTCCTTTGACGAGGTTACCGATATGGCTACCAACTTCCACAGGAGCTCGGTTGTTCCTTGTCAATGTGGCCACCTCGATCTTGATGTAATCCTCCACGGTCTTCTGGCCTCAAGAACCCTCTTCCCCATCAGACATCTTGGCCTTCTGCTTTCGGTTTGGCAGCTAAAGAGTATCGAATGTCAATACC